TTGGCTGCTGACGTCAACAGTTGCATTGTCAATTAGTAGGCTAGTAGTAGCTGTGTAGGGAGTAGGCTGGGCGCCGAGCGCCAAGTAGAGAGAAGGGCCTGGATACATATGTTGGTGGTGGAGAGAGCGCAAGCTGTCATTGACATTGGTTTTCAGTGTTACGATTCTCCATTCGTGTCGTATTGGTGCAATGCTGCTTCCTGAACACTGTGATACGATCTGGCTTTCAATGTGATTGTGCAATCTGTATATTGTCATCTCGCTACTGCTCATTTTCCTTGCACAAGATATTACCTTCCGGAAATTGATTCCAATCATCCAATGCATGCACAACCCAACTTGCCTACACATGGCCTCACAACACAAAGCCCCCACCTCAGGATGTTTCTTTGCCCTTCTTCTTTTGCCCCTTCATCTCCCTTACTCATGCTCTGTTCGCACGGCATATATTATATGAGATCAAAAGAGGCTAACAGAACTTAACATAGTCAGTCTTACAACCTACTAGCAGACTCCAATCTTTCTTTTCCCTCTTTTTAGCAAATTCGAATCATTTAGTTCTCAAAAACGTTTTTGCTTGTCCACAGCCCTTTTCGGTACAGCTAAATAAATCTTGCATACATACAGCGCATCAAAAACAGCTGGGTAAACACATTCGCAACTTCACACGCGCTGACCAGTGTTGTCACTTGATAATGGGCCTCAATACACTACTCACCAAATGCGTAAAATGAGAATAAATCTTCCGCTAGAGCATGAGAAGATAGACCGTCATATTTTTCATCGTTTGTGCATGTGGTAAGTAGCGAAGTGAGGCCCAATGCTTGCGGATTGTTGGATATACGCAACTATGCATAGTGCTTGAACATATTCTGCTAAGAATTATCCTTAACACTCTCTAAGCAAATAGCGGTCCTTGCATAACACTCCCGAGAGAGGCTGCTCACCACTGTTGGGAAATGCGGCGGGACCGGCAGGCGGACCCAACAGATACCGCGTGTGTCTTTCAGGCCGCAAACAAGCTAGCTTGCGTTGGGCGGCCCGATAGAGTTTTCGGGATCCGTGCCAGGCGATTCCCGAAACTTCTATCGGGCCGTCCAACGTAAGTCCAGTCGATGATCCTGACGGTTGTTGCGGGTCCTGCTTTTTATATTTACGTGCTGGATGTTTCGATCACTTTGCTGTTTCGACGCGACTCGTTCGACGATACGTGCTGTTTCCCGCTCGGTTCGATGCGGCCCGGTTCGACGATACGTGCTGTTTCCCGCGATCGCTTTGCTGTTTCGATTGGCCTCCGTTGCAAGAGAGAGAGAGACTTCGGTTCGAAGAGAGAGAGAGAGAGAGAGAGAGAGAGAGAGAGAGAGAGAGAGAGAGAGAGAGAGAGA